TAGTATTATTACGACACAACAAAAGTGAATCAATATTGCAAAGTTACATAACTTTGTAAAGAGCCATTCAACTGTGATTTCGGATCATAATTGTAGTCGAGGCTTAAAATAAAATGCGGAAACCCCGACAAAAGGCAGAGTGCGGGTAAAAAGAATAATTGTTACTGTTAAAATCGATAAGAAATACTGTTGCTATACGTTTTCTAAGCCTGATGCAAAAATAAAAAATAATTTTTGTATTAATTGTTTTCTTACGAGTTTGTACAATTTTATATTACTAATTAGTTACTTATACATTATATTAGTTTATTCTTTGGCTAGTTTGAATGAGTGTAAGTGTAATTTGTCATTATTCATCACTTGTAATAAGTATTGAGACATTGCTCAAAACTGTTTTGGCCGTATTGACCGTATGTGGTATTTTAATCTAGGCCATCTTAAATAAGCCTCATTTTAGTATGTTATGCCCACTTCAACTAAATTTATATCTAATTTATAGGACCTTCGTTTAATTTATGTCTAACTGGTACTTATATTTCAGTTTGGATTGCAACTGTAACATATGAATCAAATATTTTACTTTGCTTTAGATGGTGTATACATACCCACGTAAAAGTGATCTAGCAGATTGGACAGAAGAAACACTAGAGAGGGATTGAAAGATGTACAAGTTGACAAGCAATCCATTAATTCAACCGCGAAAAAATTGGGTAGATTCACATCTATCTTTAACAAAGGACAAGAAGAAGAGTTGTGTGGCTATCTTAGGAAACAAGTTAATTTTTTGGTCTTACCCATTCAGATTTTTTAGAACTGGTCTTTAATTATGCCCGAAGGAATCATATTTCTCGTCAATTTAAAAATGGAAAAGCTGGAGACGACTGAGACGAGTTTCAGACACCCAGAGATTATACTCTAGAGCGCCGGAACCAATTTCGTTAGCAAGAACAAGATGCTTCAATAACCACAGGTGACATTGTTTTATTCTAACTATTTTAGCCTCGTAGAAAAATACAACTTCGATGTCAAAAATGAAGTCGGAGTAATGTGCAGCGCAGAAAGAGGCCAATTAACCACTGTCATAGACTGCTGTAATGCATCTGGAACTTTTCAATGACAAAGCGGTTTTGGCTTGGTTGCATTTTTTTGTTGAAAAAGTTCGTGCAGTGAGACTAGGATAGCATTGCTTGATAATCATGAGACACATAAGTATTATGCAGCTTTAGAGTATGTATCAGAAAAACACGTCACCTTTTTGTCTGTCTCACCCCATGTGGCTGTACGAGACCCTTCCCACTTCAGTTAGCCCAACTATTGAAATCTTAGTTTTTTTCTTATCAAACACAAATAATAAAAATCTACCAGGGTGTTATAGGTTTAAAATATTAACAATGAATATTTTGATAATATATAGTAGAAAACACCAACTTATCACTCCCTAATCAAATTTGCAGCATAAAAATAACACATGTTGCAATTACAGCATATCGACCTATTTTCATTTCAATGCAAAATAAGTCTATAACGCATAGGTGGCAGTGAAAAATAAAAGCCATGACAATTGTTTTTATTAATCACAGCTGTCAGAATACGTTTAAAATAGTTTTGGGTAGTTAAGGTTTTCAAAATAGGTAGAGGAAATGTTATTAGTGAGAAAATTCGGTTACCGATAACTAAATTTTTTAATTCTGGGAAATCAAACTCAGAAATTGCAACTTTGTTAGACTTATCGCGGTACAGTGTGAGAAATATTGTTAGAAGATATAACGTAACTGGTTCAGTTAATATTAAACCACGATGGATGAAAAAAAGTAATATCACAAATGCCGACCGACGAGCATTAAGCAATTATTTACAATTAAGTGCTCTGTCGAGTGACGATGTTGGAAGTAGAATTTCGAGGTCCACAACTCATAGAGAGGCCCACAAACTGGAATTTAGCACTTGCAAGGTAAGTTTTCTTATAAAAAAAAGTGAAGTAAAAACCCTAAAGTTGCACAACTTGTTTATGGGCCAAATAAAAGCCACTATTAACTACAGTGCAAAAGAAAAATCGGCTTAGATGGGCTAAAGAAAATAGACAATGGACACCTCAACAATGGTGTGGAATACAATGGAGTGATAAGGCCCGAAGTTTGTGTTGGTGACAGTCTCAGTAGAGTTATTCGCAAAAAAAGTGAAGCATTCCATGTTGACTGTCTAGAGAGATAAGTGAAATTCCCAGCATCCATTATGGTCTGGGTCAGTATGTCATCAAAAGGAGTAGGGAAAACTCGATTTTATTGATGGAAATGTGGATACAAACAACTATTTGGCAATTCTAGAAGAATCGCTTTTATCAGTGATGGAAGAATGTTTGACATCCGGCCAAGATTTTGTGTTTCAGCAAGATGGTGCAGCGTGCCATACCTCAAAAAAGGCTATAAAATGAATGAAAGAAAATAATGTACCACTTTCGAAATGGGTTTCTAGCAGTCCAGATCTGTCACCTATTGAAACTTGAAACTTTGTGGCACGAGATGAAAAAGGTTCTACGACAACATCCTGCTCGTACAGTCACCGAACTGAGACAAAAACTTCAAGAAATATGGGATTGTTTTACATCAAATTTTTGCCAAAACTTGGTTAACATTATGCCCCAACGAAATTCAGCCGTAATAAAAAATAAAGGTGATGTTACCCAATGGTAATCTTTCAATTGTTGCTTTGTTAACTTCGCGCATTTATTCGCACATTGTTTTTTTGTTCAGATGTTCTATTAGTTATAGGTCTAAGTGATTTCAAATATGTATTTTTTACGACTAGAGTGTATCTAAAATATGTTTGAGAAAATAAATTGTTTTAGAAGTAAATAGTTTAGTTTATAAAGGCATATTTTGGTACCAAATCTTGAAGTGGGCCAACTGAAGTGGGAAGGGGCTCGTATATGAACCACTCAACAAGTACTTTGAGCAAGAACTTGACACCTCTCAAAAATGCACCCAGGGCGCATTCTGAACTAATACGATATTCCAAAAATTTTTGGAGGAGCGTACGCCAAAAGTGCTTCTGTCCAGAACGCAGTTAACGGACTTAAAAAACCAGGAATGTGGCCCTATGACCCAAATAGAAGAAGATTACGATCGTTCGACTATGACAGATCGTTCTTTTCATGACCTATCGTCTGCTCCGACTGAACTCAGTTTTCTCAGTCGGTAACAGCCGACATTTCTTACAATGATGCTCTCAACTTCGACCAACAACCCCTCAAATGATTATCCGCTAGTAAACTGAACTGAGCTTCTTTTACCCGAAATTGTATCTGCTGCCCCTATAGATGCAATACCTGAATCTTCAGCACAACAACTATGACTGAGGTGTTTACTACATCTGTGCCTGCTTATACCTTGTCCAATGATGTGTGGGCACAAGGATCAGCTAATTTAGGAAAAGCACATCCAATATCACCACCACCATTGCCAATTAGAACTATACCAGTTATGAATGCCCCTAAAACACAAAGGGCAAAAATCAGAGATGTTAACATCTCTACCGTTTGGTGTTTACTGATAGGTACACTGATCCCCCCGCAGAAGATTGGATTGAGTGTAATCAATGCAAAGGTTGGGCTCGTGAGGACTGCACCGCCTAGGAAGAAACTGGCAGCTGTTCTTGCGACTAATGCCAACGTTAATTTCTATTCCATTAGGCCCTTAAGGCAAAAAGAATAATTTACTGCTTTCCCTTAATGGCTATTATTTTTATAGAAATGTTCAAGTTTTATTGTTTTAATTATTATTACCCAAAGATGATAAACGAAAGTACAAAGTGGTGTTGATTGCCAGGTTGTTGTTTTATTGACATTTCCCGTCTTTAATTTCGTAAATCAAAAAACACTAACATGTGATTTACTGCTATTATACTTTTAAAAATGAATTTACAGCATTTTTCGATGTTTTTAAAATACACTTATTATATTCTTTCAAAGGAGATACGCAGCAATGCATAATTACGTTATTTTACTTTAATATAATTTAGTTATTCTGACATTTACATTTATAGCACGAAAGTCGGTATTTTCAACATCTAGTAAATCAATTTAGTAAGTATATAATTACATTTAATAATTACACCTGACGAAAATTGTTATATAAATAAACTAAAAACAGCGAGTTTTCTTATATGTTCAGTTAAACGAACAATAGTTTCAAAATTATTACATAGGAGCAAAATAAATTATTTATAACGATACTTATTCACAAATAATAGAATCATTACATAAAAAACTAAATGAGTAAACATCATAACAGGTAAAAAGTCAGTACTAGTGTCGTACATAGAGCCAAAGCCATATAGTTTCAAAACTACTTCTTTATTACTTTGATAAATTTCATGCTTTTATGTTAAGGATATGCAATTAAAATGAAATATTTGAAAAAATGAAAAAGTGAATATTTTTATCAAATAATGTGATCAATGATATATCTTGTAAACGTAATCATAAAATAAATGAAACAATGCGGTTATAGAATCGTTAACAGATAGACCGACGAACAGACAGACAGAGTGGTTAAATTAAATTTGAAAATTTGCGGCATGATGATAACTTTTTACTATACCAATTTCGATTCGAGGTATTGAAGTAACCATTAACGTAGAAAGCGATGAAAAACAAAGCTTTTAACATTTTTAGTTATTATCACCTATAAGCAACGTCAAACTCTTTTTAATTATAACCTATAATTCAGAAATTTTCCCGAGGAATAATTTTCACGCTATATCATCTGGAAAGTCTGCTCAATGTCCGCAAAAATATTTGTATAACTTGCAGCGCCACAATAAATACAAACATAAATAGAAACGGCTACATATAGGCGATACGTATCGCGGGTACTTATAAATAAACTTCAACTATTTCTATCGTACAGCAACACTGAACCACCAATTCGGTGAAAAAATCAAATCTAAATCACAACTAAAACTCTTTTTGGTTTGAGAAATATTTGAATTCTGGTACGCACCTGAGATGGCAGCCACAAACTGTGCCAGAAACTTAGTCAAACCGTGGGACATCGGAGAGTTGGCCATGGCAAAGCGGACTACACAGTTTGGAGTGAAGTTCAACACTGATATACTGGCGTGCGCCTAATCAAGTCCATTCATGTTTTATTGCAACGTTTTATCTCGCGTGTTTGTTTTCCTTATTCCGCGAATAGGGATCTCTGGATACCGACTCGCGACGTCTTCGTTGGCGCTTGTGAAATGTGAGATACAATCTTGAACGTTTATGCAACAATTGTCATGCAAAACTGAAGTGAATCGTGAATTAGACAGGTTTATTGTCCGTAATACATTCACTTATGGGTAAATAAAAGCTTAACATTTGCAACAAAAAAGCATGAACTTGATCGAACGGTTTGTACTAGTAGAGGAAAGTACACCGACTGCCCTGGCGCTCAACCGGTTTCGATGAATGGCGGAGTTTTGCCAAAGAGCCGTTCGGTTCGGCTGGTGAGAGTCGAAAAAATAGGTATTTCGTGTAAAAAAGTTTTAGCAGATATCTGAAACTTTTAAATGACGAATACATAAAAAGCTTCAGCCAGATATGTGTTATAAACCATGGAAAAAGAGCAAAATTCAGTATTTTGCTTGTATAACTTTCAAATCATATTTTATAAATAGTCGGTAAGCTGGACATTTTAGAGCATAAAAAGGCCTTTAATTTTATTTTTTAAGAATTAAAATTGTTAAACAATCAAGTTGAATACAGAGCTTTTTATGCAATATGGAATAAATGGTTATAACTATTGCAATAATTGCAAATGGCTAAAAAATTGTGAGAATGAGGCATCATTGGTTTTACATGCACTGACTGGTCTGATCTGAATAATGCAATTGAAAATGATTTTATCAAAATTATTCGGTGGTTTAACAATAGAAAATTAAGCATTAACTATTCTAAAACACATTTTTTACCATTTGGATCTTATGCTAGACATCTGTCAAATTACACAAATTTCTCCTTCAACATTAATGATCAAGAAATGCAAATTAATAGAGTGCCCAATATAAAATACCTTGGAGTGGTCTTGGATCCTCACTTACGATGGGACATCCATGTCAATTATATTTTAAAGAAAGTTAGATTTGTATCCTACAAAATTAAATACCTTGGGCATATATTGATAGAAAAATATCTTCGAACATTTTACCATGCACTGATTGAGCCTCATCTCACATATAGTATATTAGCATGGGGAGCTGCATGTTCCTCACATATCTATAATTTAGATGTTTTTCAAAAAAGTATTCTAAAAATGATATTTAAAAAACCGAAACTTTATCCCACTGACAAATTATACGCAGATGTTCGAATGTATGATATAAGACAGCTTTATTTCTTACACAGTATCACTCACTACCATAAATTTGTAAACACCGACCAAAAATTAAACATAATCATTATACAAGGTACAAAATTCGTGGCACAGTAGTTCCTCAGCTGCATAAATCTATAATGCAGCGGTCATATCTCTATTTAGCGCCAAAATTGTATGAAATTATACCTAGAGACTTAAAAGATTTACGTTTCGGAAATTGTTTCAAAAGAAATTTAAAAAAGTGGCTACATTCTATATCTAGGACTGAAATTCATAAACTCATAAATACGAACATCAAATAAATACATAATCTACTGTAGCTATTTTTTGTCCTTTTTTGTCATTCTGCAGTTGCAACCTAAAATTATTGGTCTATGTACAGGCGATGCCTTCTATTGGGCCTGTTTTGATTTTATATTTGTTTACTCATATTGTTTGTTATCTTTGTGCATTGAGTGAATAAATATTATTATTATTATTACTATGTGTGCTAAATTTCATTTGAATCATTTTAATAGTATATGTAAAAAGATAATTGTTTATCCCGGAGACAAATTATTTAAACAACTGTTCTTGCCAAAGATATGATCCTAGAACATTTTACAAAAGTGAAATGGATTCTTGAAGATTTGAACTTCAAGAATTTATGCAAAACATTAATTATTTATTCCAAAATTGTTGTTAAAAGTGATGTTGAAAAATAGCCATTCTAATAGTTACAGACATTTACAATTTATTATATTTCAATATAATTTTATTTTAGGAAATTAATCTGTATAGGTGGTTAAAAACTCATATTTAAATAATAAAATTAATATTATAATAACAAATGTATAGTGTAAAACTATGAAACAAGTAATGCAAATAAAATAAATATGAATGAAAGGTAAACGTGAATCAATATTTTTTTCAATTTATTAGAGTGTATTTTGTTAATGGTATACCAATTAACTGAATTATAAATTGTTTTAACAATTTTATTGTAAAATATAAATGATTTTATTAGAGTGAGAGTAAAAGTAAATGATCTATTGTTAATTATTATCATTTCATAGTAATTTGATTTTGAAGAATACAAGGCAGTGTTTAGTTTTTAATGTCATTATTTCGATGAGTTATCCCAAATTAAAAAAAGGTCTACATTGCTTAGAAGCCGAGATAGTGCAAAATTTTGCAGCGCGCTCCGATTTGAAGATTCAATTTGAAAAAATTAATCGAGCTAGAGCTGATTCCCCCACCACCTCACCAAAAATACTTGAATGAGTACCTTCACTTTAGGTGGCTATTTCTTAAAGACCTTTGATATAATAGCAAAATTATAGCTTTTTTAACCACCTGCCCTGATCAACTTGTTAAAATAAATTATATTGAAAAATAACTGTGAAAGTTGCTTTTTTACAACATTTTTGAAATAAATAATTATTTTTTTGCATGAATTCTCGAAGTCTATGCTCGATGCTGTCCAGAGGAAGGCTGTCCGACTGATCGATAACCCTTCTCCAGACCCTTTCGCACATCCAGAACTGCCCGATACGACCGCTCCTTTATGGCTAGGTTGTCGAGATTGTGGAATAATCTACAAGAAGAGACTTTTCCTAGTTCGACTAACTTTAGGCAGACCAAAAATCGGATTAACAAAATTTCTTTGGTATCCTCACAGCAGCCGCGATGCCCTGGCATTTAGGCTTTTGCCTGTACGCCTGTTTCGGTGTAAAAAAATCACGGATGTGGCCTTGGCTTTACCAACAATACATCAAAAAAATCTCTTATCAACTAATTCCGATTTATAAACAACATTTAGATAAAACGATGACAGGGGGGTTTTGTTGTTTTTCATCTCGTTTATTTGCAAATAGTTCTATTTTAGTCAGATCGTCATCAGTCATCACATATTAACATGACAATATAACTCAAACAACAACAAGACTTTAAGGATATAGTTTATTTACGGTGTATGGCAAATATTTGGCTTGGATTTTAGGTTGGTCAGTAATGGCAGAATAATTTTTCTATAAATAGCGTAAAGTTATTTTACTTAGGACTTCACAGTACACACTTCGGTTCATCGGTTGTATAAATGAATATTACCGAATGTCTTTCGTAGAACAAAAATGTAATTTTACATCAGATATTTTGAGAGTAAATGTAGAACAATAATAATAATTTCTTAGTGCTATTACACAGACATGTGTTTGCTCAAGTCAGCTAAAGTAAAACATACAAGAGTAAGTAAAAGCAACAAGCAATACGTATATGAGACAAACAAACAAAAAGTTGCAATAAAAGAGTTAAGAAAATTGAAGTTAAAACTTAGACTAATAACAAATAGAGTTGATTAAAAAATTATAAAAGAGACTAATTACATTAAAAATTATGCCAGGTAAAAAAATTGATGTTAGGGAAGTCTTCTACGTCAAAAAAAGCTTCAGATAATAGAAAGCATTTAATAGTTTTGCCAAATTGTTCAAAATCTAGAGATTTTATTTGATTTGGCAATAAGTTGTAGAATTTTAACCCGTGGTAGTTAAAACCATTCCTAGTTTTGGAAAGGCGATGACACAAATGTTCTTTGCTTCTGGTGTTGTAATTATGAGTATCTTGACGAGTTGCGTAATTGTGAGAGTGAGCTTTAACATGCATGAGGTAAGCCGAGATGTACACGCAAGGCAATGTCATGATATTCAAATCATTGAATTCATTCCTGCAAGGATCTCTGTACCTCAAGTTTGAGATGTATTTAACACATCTTCTCCGTAGACCAAAAACTCTAGGCATGTGTGGAGATTGACCCCATGTCAGAATGGCGTAAGTCATTCGACTGTGGAAGTAATAATAATAAAATAAATGGGCTTTATTTCATACCTAAGTAAAAGTACAAAAAAAGCGAAGTGTCGCTAAGATTAGCGTTTTTCACCTTAACCTTTGAATGAACAAAAAAATATATAATAAAACATTCCACCAATAAAAATGTATCCATAATTCTCAATAATTACTAAATAATTAACAACACAAAAAAGGAACAATTACAAGAATAGTCCACATTTCTAGCATTTTGTATTCATCATCAGACCTCGACTTGTAGTTTTAGTTTAAGCTTCTTTTTAAAATTAAATAATGCATAATTTTGGAGTGTAACAGACAGATCATTATATAATTTATTAGCGTTGTAGCTGAATGATTTTTTGTAGACAGCCTTAGAATGTATCACCAGCATATTTCAATTCCTTGTATTTCAGTTGATTTATGTCACTACATCGTGTTAACTTATTATGCAAATATTGTGGTTGTTTGGTAGCTAAGACCTTATGTATTAGAGTCAATAAGTGAAGTTTTTGCATGCCTTTAATCTGCAGAAAATACCAAGTTCCTGAAACTTATAAGAAATATTATCAAACTTTCGTATTCCGCAAGAAAATCTGACGCACGAATTCTGAATACGCTGTAATTTGCTTTGTTCACTATATGATAGAGCGTTGCCATATATACTGTCACAATATAATAATAATAATAATAATAATAATGACTTTATTCAAAAGATGATCATAGTATGGCGAAGTTTAGCCATGGCTACTCTACCACTTAACCATACTACAACCAGACATTACAAAACATTAGCATAACAACATGAATCAGTAGCTGTAACGAATGCATTAAAAATATATACAACAAATATGAACATATACAAAGAAAAGAAACAAAAGAACAAGATATCATTCAGCAAAAATGAATTTATCACTCAATGTGCTGAGTCCAGAAAGTGCAACTTGACTGTCTTCTTGAAGCGCTGCAAACTTAAGCTCTTAGAGATAGCTGGCAAAGAATTGTATACCTTGACCGCATTATAAGTAAAGGACCTTTCAAAGACCGACGTACGATGTATAGGAATGGAAA